AAAGCTTCCATAAATTAATTCGGCAAAACAATGAACTAATTTCAGAGAAAAATTCTGATCGTATCTATCGTAAGTAGATCGATTGAAAATTTTGCAACTGTAGAGAGCGTATGCATGCTGATTATCGGCGTTGTAACCTTAGGTGACACCGAATGAAGATGCACATAGCCTAGAAAATGAAAATGAAACAGATAAATACCATGGGGATGACGAAATTATGCGAAAGTAGACTCCGCTTTCCGAAGTGCCTGCTGTTTTTTATTCCAGATATCCGTGATTCACGCAAACGGGACTAAAAACACAAGTTTTGACTCCACCCGTCGATTAAGCGACAACTTTATGGGATTGTGTTTCTTTTGTGGGTCACGATAGGACATGAGAGAAAATATCGGATTAAACACGAAACGTGAAGCAGGAAGTCTTCAAATCAAGGGGCTCTAGTTCAAAGAGTTTGAGAAAAAAATTCAGTTGAACCATCGAAAGAATTGAAGCAAATCGTTTTCAAGTAATCATGCCACTCATTCCACTAGAACACCATTTCACTTCACATTGCAACGTTACAAAGGTACAAACGTTTTTTACTTGTCTTGCAGATGAGAGCATGTTTTGGGGTGACCATGGTAACTAAAATTATTATAAAAAGAATCGGTTTAGGCGAAACCTAAACACCGGTATGTTTTGACATGTGTAAAAAGATTTTTTATTTATGTCGCTTTAGAAGTGTGTGTTCCAGTTGTTTTCCAATTTTTTTTTTCTTGTCAAAAAAATTCGTTTTCCCTGCGGACTTTTTACTTATCCCTTCTGAACGATTCAATATTCTTAGCAATCTTCTTTATGCCTACTTTGGAAAGGTGATGTGAGTTATTTCCTTCATAAACCACAACAAGCAAAGAAGTTAAGTGCTGCGTTTGGGAAATGAGCCCGCGCTCCCTATGAACTTTGTCTTCACAGGTTTATTTAGGATTCTCAGGGAGAATCGAAGAACGGACTCGAGAAGGGAGGGGAACAAAGGAAAGTGGTTGGCCTGCATATTGTGTCTATGCATAGACAAAAGCTCAAAAGGGACTTACATGAGCATTAAAAATAGTATTACTATCGCAACAGACTTCGTCGCGCGCAGAAACAATGGTGTTACATTGCAAATTTCAAAACTTTCCAAGTTTTGATAAACAACGCATTGTTTATAAGACTTCAAAAGCGCAACTAATACCTTTTCTTCACAAGGAACAAATTAAACATGTCAGTTAAATCCATTTGTGGCTTGGGTAAATACTTCACGACTACAATATTATTCAGATCGTATTTATAATTTTCTTACACAGCAAAATGTACAGTTACAACAAATGATTTAATTTTATGCTTTGAAAATGGAATTTCACAAATTTCAAATCACTCCTAGAAAAGTTGATATAATCTCCCTAAAGTAGGAAGTTCAATGTCTTTCAACACTGTAAAACATTTCAAGATTTAAGGATAAATTCTCTGCACTCTCTAGTGCCCATATCTCACACCTTTTATTTTGAGAAGTAGGTATTCAATCAAACAAGATCCCTTCGTTGATATTGTTCTCTCTTTTCATCACCTTTCTGCATGAAAATATACTGATATTGTAGGGAGAAATTTGGTTGTGTCACTCCTGGGTGTGAAGGAGTTTGGACTCCTCCTTCCTCTTCATCAAAAACTCTAGAACAGCAGTATCATTGTTATTTGTTTAGAATACAGTTGTTGGTAGCAACATAATCCAAGATACACTGTATTTCAAAGCCTGTAATACTGTTTCAAATTTAAAGATCACAGGTTTTCAACCAAAGAAATGTTTACTGTGTAGGATTAATAAAATTTGGGAAAAGAATTGGAACAAAAAAATAATTAATCTTATCAAATGATGAATGCAGGTCCATGTGCACAATCCCATAGGAAAAATCATAATGAAAGCTGATGGGTGTTAGGCCTGACAGGTTGATGCAACCCAGTCTAAAAAAGGCTGTCCAGTCCTGAACTAACATGATAACTATTTAGAATGTTCTGAAAATGTAAATTGAATATGTGGGCTTCAATTTAAATAAGAAAACTGTACTTCTTGATGAGAGAAAAGGAATATTTTTGAACATAAAATATTTTCAGTACATGTAGTTGTCCAGTATATGCCCTTCTTTTGTATACAAGTATGTCTCATTAAAGTTGAAATGAAATTTTCAACACCTAGTCAGGGTTTTCTTTAAGGTTTTAAGTTGCTGGAGCTTTTTTAAAGGTAAACAGTTGTGAGTCTTGAAACCAATTTGGCAGACAAAATGTCATATTGTTCGTACTTTCCTGCCACTGCAGCAAGATTTGTCAAAAAGTTAGTCCCCATCAGAGCGTTTTTAAACTAACCTTCAGTCAGAAGTCTTTTTATGTTTTCAGAAAAGATAGGCAGTGCAAATTTGTATTTTTATTGACCCCAAAGTTTAGACCTGATAAACATCATCTCTGTACAGGTTCTTGAAGCAATGAAAGTAGCCAGCAAAACCTTGCAGAGAAGATGGCATACTTCACCGGCTGCTGGTTTTTATCTACAACCCTGCCTAGTGGTCATATGATAACATGCTTTTTGACTATGTTTAGTCAGAATGGACTGAGTTTGGTCAGGCTCTTTTTCACAATGCACAGACCTTGTCATAACCTCCACCCAAATTTTTCCAATCTGGCCCAACAAAACTCAGTCAAAAAGTACAAATCATCTATGTCCTCACTGTAAGTTCCCCACAACTTGTAGAAACAAAAAAACGCTCACTCCCACACTAGATGCCACTGGAAGAAACAAACTAACTGTACTCACTTTGCCATGCATGACTCTGTACCAAGTGGATACCTTGACAACTAAAACTTATATGATGAGAATTGATTGCAAAGTTTTTTCTACTGACTTGGTGAAGAGTTCTCATCAATCTGCTATTGTAGTGGAATGATAACAGCTGGTATGATGAACAATTGGTAATACTTCCTCTATTGTGTTAAGTTTATCACATTCAAAACATATTGGATCATGTGGATTTAAAATGCAAAATTGGGATTGTTTAATCAATCTTATCATGAATAAAGATTTGTGCTTGAGTTTTATCACTTTTGAGGTATAAACAACAATTTTTTTTCCAAGCTGATTGCACATCTGATTTCTGATTGAAATCATGCTACTTACCTTAATACAAATCCCTACTTTATTAATAAACCAGATTTTAAAAAGTAAACATTGAAGTTTAGACGGGTCATTACAAAATTCAAATTTACTGTGTAACTTTAACATGGAAATGACCATGACAACAACCCTACAAAATTAGTAATATGAAATTAGGTGTTTGGTTTTTTGCTTTTACACCAAAATAACCACTATGGTTTACAATTAACTTTTCCATGACACCCAACTAAGAAGAATTGGCATATTTCACATATTTAATGAAATCCACGCAAAAGCTTTCACCAGATTACAGATTTTTCTACTTCATAAAAGCCGCTTGTTGTAAACTATTGAAATTATTTCAAAGGCGCTCTTAGGAGCAACTTTTTCCAAAGAAAGCTCATAATCAAACTTACAACTGAGTAGTAAAGGTCATAAGATATTCTAATGACTGGAATTTCGTAACAGCTGTGCAAAAGCTGGTTTTAGCCGCTCATTTTGTAAAGGGTAATAGATGAATCCCACTAAAATATTGGCGAATTTTGAAGAAGTGGTTGAAACAGTTGTTGAAAAAAATTATGCGAACTTTTAGGCAAATCAATTTAAATATCTACGGTTCACTCGCCTTTCTCTTAGCTTATCTCTCTTACTATGATTTTTGATAACATCAACTAATGAGAAAGAAGTGTTAGCCTGCGTTGATTTCATTGGAATCCTGGTTGCAATTGGGAAGGTTCGAATGGAGGACGGTCGGAGCTAAAACGAGTGTGTACTCGATTGACGTCAAGCATATTTGCCACTCAAATGCGAAACGAATTCAACAATTAGCCGAAAATATTCGATACCATTTCATGTTACGCATAATTGTCACGACTTGGTTGTAAATCCAAAGAAGTTCGATACATGGCCGACAAGGCGAACGGGAAAACCCAAACAAGTAACAGGCACCGAGAGGAAACCTACATTTTCAGCTTATTACGCGGAGTTTTCCCTTTCCTTCAATAAATAAAACTTGACATTAAACAACTGATAACATATTTCTAATTCAGCGGAAATCAAGCAGGAAGTTTGCACAAAAGAAAAGCGAAAAAAGTCGCGAAGCAACTTCTATTTTCAAACTTCAAGCAAAAGAAGCGAATTCCACTACCATAGATACTACGCGAAGTGTTTATCTAAGCAGATTTACAACTGAAAAGGTGAAGAAGACAGCAAAATTCAAACACTTACAGCTTGGGAGTCCCTCAATCGGGAGTTATTAACTTGAGCCATGACTCTGATTTAGACCATCAAAGGCTAAGTAACGTTCTTGGTGTCTTAAAGTCCAAAGGGAATATATCACGAATGTTTGAAAGATTCGCTCTGGCGCCGGTGATTAGAACCGGAAGTGACGTCTACAACTTACGCAAGCGCACGAGAGATTGAGAGCCCCCAGTTACATTATAAGGCGGTTACAAGGTTACAAAGTGTGGTGTAACAATAGCGATGTGTAGTATACTCGGAAGAGCAAAAAGGCGATATTTAGGACCGCTCTGAACAATTTTTTTTACGTAAAAAGTTAAGAAAGTTTTAGGAACATGTTAAGGATTCCCTTGCAATATGACACCATAACTGTCACCGGGTACTAGATTAAGGAATTGCCTGTTAATTCAGGAAAAATAAGGTGAAGTTAGTAAGTTAACCATGGATTCAATATCAGGAACATTTTTGAAAACCTGAAAAAGAAAAACTGAAAAATTGCTTAATCAATCTGGGCAGGATGACAACTTGTTCATCAAATTCTCCCCAAGATGATCCATGGGATAGTCCATGTGACTAAAATGCTACTGTCTGATTGGTTCTTTTGACGTGAGCTTGTATTTACACGCAAAATTTAAGCAAACTTAGTTTAGATAGCTGAACTGAAAAATTGACTGGCGGAACAATCTATGTCGAATATCGCGGGTTTTCTCTGGGCACTTTTAAATAAGTGATTCATAAGCACCTGCTCTGCTGTAAACAAATACTGAGGAAAGTGGTCTCAGCTAAGAAAGTCCCGAAAAAGAAGTATTTTTTAGCCCAAAGCGTTTGAAAACAACGGACTGAATATCATTCCAGTGACTTTTAGAGAGAATATTCTTTGTTATTTAATTATTTACTTTTCCAACGCTGCTGCTCTATGAAAATCTTCGTCGACAAGGTATGTAAAATTAATTCTTTGACCACGATCGTCGCAAGTTGGGCTAATTACTTGTTGTTATTCTGTGTACCGTTTACAAGACATCGACTTCATCAACGAGAGGGAAATGTACGACCACTCTCGCAGGGGATCTCGTTAGGTTTTGTTTGCTTAAGGTCTGTTTAAGGCGTTGTGTTGTTTGCAAACATAGAAGCGAACCTCTGTCATTTGATTGAAACTGACTTCAGCTCCCTAATTTTCTGTTTAGGTCGTCAGCAATCGCATCAACGATTGGAGTTGCTTCGGTCTGCCACAATTTTGATCAGTCCGTGGCTGCATCAAACAAGTTTCGCGCGGGATCATGCCAGTTTCAAACAGTTCAGGAGAAACTTGCAATGGTTTTGTGTCCAACTGGTTTAATTGACGTTCAATAAGATTCTGTCTAACATGAGAATCTGACAAGCTCCAGTAAGGAATCCTTTTAATGGTTCAAGGTGCATTATCGTTGTAGCCTCGTTTGGTCGATCTATTCGCTGTTTATTTTCGGATTATTACGCTGAATGTAAGTTTGGAAGCACGGATCTATGAGTCAGAGGGAAGGAGGGGTGAATCGACAACGTAGTGTAGAAACAGGTCTTACTCAGGCAATTCGTCCGATGTTGATATGCGCCTCCGAGTCAAGCGTTTCCGTGAGAAACCAGCAGGTAAGATTAACGAATACATAATCCCACTTTTTCCACGTTCTCCCGTTTCTTGGCCGTGAATAGCAAACTAAAGTGCCCTTTACGGCCTTACACTGGTTAGAATCACCATTCTTTAGCTGTATGCTAACGTTGCAATTTGCTCTTGCTGTAACTATAATCCGCACTACATTGAAGCGATTAAAGATTCTGGCTGATATAAAACCTATTTATCCGGACATAGAGACTCCCCTCGGCCCTTTCAATTTTTATTGTTTTGAATACTACACTCTTGCGATATGCGATTTCATTTTTCCTTTTAAATTTAAAGACCAGATGCGTTTGTTTTGTCTTAACCGGGTGTACCATTATTTCTGCTGGTGAACTGTCAGGCCCGCAGTGTAATGCACATGGCTATTTACGGAAAGGCACTTTGTCATAATATTTCAGCCGTTATCGCTTCACTCCCACAAAATGCAGTGCGTATCGCACAGTTCATTATTTTGTAATTTTTAAATACACACCTTCTTTTGCAAGGACTATTTTTGTTCTTTAGTCCTCCTTTTGGGATTTAATCAGTATGTTGAAATTAATATTGGAATCAGCCAATGATAAATATGTAACGTTTTAGGATTCCATCCATTAGTGTTAGCAAAGGTTTATTATTCTGTAGTCTTTGAAAAATTATTCTCATCTGAAAAGCTGAACAGGTGTTGTTTAGAATACAGTTGTTTGCAAATTTAAGGAAAGGGTCAAACTAACTTTTGGGGGCAAGAATTATTTTCCTTCTTTGTGTACTTTAAAGGGGAAAAGGGATTGGGCTGAATTATTGTATTGTTTAAATAGGGACAAAACAACAGTGTTTGAGTGTGGAAGGAAAGGTTCTTATGGTTCAATGCTGTATGATTTTTTCAAGGCTCAGAAATTTGGAACCCTAATTACATGTCTATGTGAAATACCATGGTAGTCTCATATTACAGGGTTATCCATATTCCCTGTGAAACATCAGCTTCACCTTTTGGTCTGATGAAACAAAAATACTATGCTTTTGTTGTTGTGAAATCCCCTCTTCAGTTAGAGTTTTATTGAATGTTTTCTCAGTTATTTGTTAAGACAGCTTTAAAGTATGAACAATATGTCAGATATACAGATATGTAGGAGTTACAAGAATACTAATATCATTAATAAACAGTGATCCTCAAGATACTACATGGGAGTTGGTCACGTTGTTTTAATAGTATCACTGACGTGTCATGTGATGGACTGTCATGAGGAGAGCTATAAGAGAATTCATGTATACATGCTAAAACAAATTTCCAATGATCTACAAATTTTTTCATATGGTAAATGGAAAAATTTATTCTATTTTGCAAGTGTTAGGTCTCTTAACTGATATTCTCAAGTAAAACATGGTGAAGTGACTTGTCATGAGACATGTATCTGCTAGCATACTTCTTTTTTTTTTTAAGTCTCTTACCAAATCCTTGATTGTTCATTCTTTAGGGCTCCGATCAGCTTTCTGTCTCACAGACTTCCGAGTCAAGAATGGCAAAGATGAAAAAAAAAATCAGTTCACCCTTGCCAAAAAGGAAAAGTACAGGCATTGGTAAGTCAGATTTTATAAATACAGTTTATCCCAATGAAAAATATCAACCAAAGATATTTATGGAATGATTTTAATCTTGTTTCTTGACTAGAAGCAAGTATATTTAGCATCATCCTTGTCTGATCAGTGGCTACGTGTTAGTAATTGTTACCCAGCAGAATCACATTAATAAATAGTACTGTAAATATGAAATGAAAAAGTAATATGAGATAAATTCAATCCAAATGTTTATAATATTTGAGAGGGGAAGCAAATCATATGATCTCTGTGATTAGGAAAGTGGTAGAAAAAATAAAGGAGTATCATTGCAAATAAATGCTAACAGACAAATATTGATCAAATAAATATATACATAAAATCAACCAAAAACACCATCAAAATTGTTATAGGGTAAACCCAAAAGTTGTACAAATATCCAAAAAAGTGCAACTTTCTAAAGACTGTATCTAGCACACACGATAATTTTATGTATGATGATGCTTGCATAGTGAAAATTTCACGAAGTGTACCAGAATCCCAGTTTCTCAAATGTCTCCTAAGAGGTACTTTGTATTTAAGGCAAATGAAGGTGAAGTAGAAATAATTTTTCTCAGCCCTTAACTCCATAAAATTCCTTCTCCTAGGCACTGTATGGTTGGGCATAATCATTGTTTTTGTTTGTGTTCCTTTTTTCTTTTTTTTCGTTCTCTTTAATTTCTGTTATCTCTTATATGTTCTTATACCAGAACATTTATAACTTGTATTTATCCTGTTTGGATGTTGTAATTTTTGTGGCTTGTAAACCCCTTTGGAGAATCAATTTATATCCAGGCCATTTATGAAGGGCTATGTTTGTAGTTGTAATGTTTGAAATATCAGCTTTAGAAACTCTCTATAGTGGCCAATTTATATTATCAACTCGTTTTAAAAAAACATTGCTGTGGTTGTACTCTTGGATTCCTTTGTTGAAAACAATTTATAAACTGGCATATATATTGACAATTTTCTCTGTTTTCTATTTGTCATAACTGTACCAAATAAAAAATTTCAAAATGGTCTGAACAAAGAAATAATTTGTACTTACATAGGCAATTTACTTTGTCATTTTCTTAATTGTACATTTATAATGGCAGTTTATTTTTCATTGTAATTCATACTATTTGATGTGTGTGTTTTTCCAGGTGCCAATAGGACCTTCGGAGTTTCTATTGATGAGTTACTGAAGCGGTCTGAAGGATGTGAAATACCCCCGATCATCACAAGCATTGTAGAATACCTCAAAGAGCATGGTAATGTAGTTAATGTATGTTAGTTTTTTTCAGGGGGGGCAGAGGGAGGAAATCATGATATCACTGTTTGCTACATACATACATGTATCTGTACTCAGTAACCTTGATTCTGTCACTTAGGTCTAAACCAGGAAGGAATTTTTCGAATAAGTGGTAATCATAAGGTGGTTGAGTCCCTCAAGGCAACATACGACAGAGGTAATGTTTAAATCCTGTTTTATCGCTATAGTGCTACCATTTAAGTTAGAGCACATTTCAATTGAGTCTTAAAACCAAAACGAAAACAATCACAATAGCCAATTATAGCAAGAAAAATATCACAAGGGCCAACAAGAAATTGCAATAAACACAAGAGGCTAGGTTATGATAGGTTTTAGCTGTGAAACTGATTGGTTGGAAAAGTGGGGCAAGTTTTCTGGACAATCACATGAGAAAGTAAGGCAAAGGCAAGGTAATCATGGATTATTTTCACTACTCAATTGAAAATTGCTCTTTATACAGGGAAAAAATGAATTAAACTGTCTTGAGGTGTCTGGTTTTCTAAAGTAGTGTCTGCAGAATGGAAAATAACCTTTGAATCTTGAAAAGATATGAATTCTATCAAGCCTCCATTTCGTGAGACAAAAGAGAAATGTGGCCAGACATGTTTTTGATGTTACTATTTATTGTTTTAATTTGGAAATTTTTTTGACAGGAAATCTCCCTGTGACTTATTATTTTTATCAAATTTGTCCATAATAGTTATATTGTTTGATATCTGTCAATTTTTATTTTACATTGTCTTGTGACAGATAGTAATTTTTGCAACTCTGGTCTTGATGTGAAAAAGGGTAATTTCTTGTGTTTGTGTTCACTTCCATCTAGATGGTGAAGCCAACTTGGAACAAGTTGGAGATGTTATGGCTGTTGCTGGATTACTTAAACTTTTCTTGGTAAGAAGGGAGTAGTTGACTACATGTACTTGTGATTGATTCATAGATTTGTCAATTAATTATCTGACTTTCTGTTGGTTGATTTACTGTGAAGCAGAAAGTGGCAGTCATGTTTATAGGCACACATCATAAAGTTCTTCCTTTTTGACTGAAATCTCTTTTCTGATGGCAGGGGGGCGGGGGGGGGGGCTTTTTTACAGAATGTGAAATTTTAAAGAATGATGAAATGTTCTTTCTTATCTACTTAACACCAATGCATGTTTAAATGGTTGTTTACATTTATTAGAGAGAACTACCTGAGCCACTTATTCCTCAAGATATGACAGCAGATTTCATCAAAGTTTATCAAGGTGTGAGGGGAATTATGTCCTAACAATGTGCATGTCACAGCTAATGTGATACATATAATGAAGAGAAAATACATGGGTTTACGTTGATTGGAATTTCTCTGTGAATGTTCAACTAGATATCTATCAAGTGAGATATTGAGTAGAAAACTCTTAGAGAAATTTCATATCTACACAAGCTTGTGTATAATTCTCAATTTTTTTATTATATAAAACTAGAGGCCTGTACTGCATGAAAAAAGCCTTGGATTGAGAATGATTAATGCATTGCCATCATTCATCAACATGACAGAGTGGCATAAAAGACAAGTGATGTGTCAGCAGCTGATTGGGGATATAAAACAGATATTAAAAATTATTGTAATTGCAGATACAGCTTTTCTTAGGGTTGGAAATCATTTTAAAGCACATCAGTTTATATAGAAATATTTTTTTCAAACAATATCCTTTAAACAATTTCCAGACTCCTAAATTATTAAGACATACATGACTTGTACTCTTTATTTATTGTATATGTTTCTTGGTACTTGTTTTAGCCCATAAAGATGATGGTGGGGGTCTATCTGATATGAAGGCATTGCTAGAGAAGCTTCCAGCATCAAATTACCACTTGCTCAAGTACCTTTGCACTTTTCTTGTAACAGTCTCTATGAGTGAAGGTAATTTAGTAGGTGAATTTTTCTATAGCTAACCATTTGAGCTGTTGTCCATCATTGCACTGTTTAATTACTCACGTGTTTTGTTGTCTTCCACAGAGAACAATAAAATGAGTTCAACAGCTTTAGCTATTGTGTTTGGACCAAACTTTTTCAGGTAACAGGCCAATGTGCTTTTGTTGTATAGTTGCTTATTAAAGAAAGGTTATTAATGATTGCCTGTACAAATTGGTAAGCTATCCAATCATCTTGAGGGACTATTTTATAGCTGGTATTATCAACACTTGACAGTTAAGTTTTAAGTTAAATGTACTGACCCCTAAGAGTGACTTGTATCTAATTTCTCCTTGCATTATCACCCTTGAATCGATCATTAAGGTTAATAAAGGGGAATGGTCACAAAATAAAGAAGCTCTTGAATGTTGAAAAAAATTCACCTTATCAGCACCTTAAGAAATGTGTAGAGAACAGAGGGGAGAATTTGCATACTGGTGTTAGGGTATAAAGGGTTAAAAGATATGATCATGGTTAATGAATCACAAATTGTATTGTTACAGATGTGGTGATGGATTAGAAGGTCTGCGAGAACAAGGACGCACTAATGCAATAGTTGGCAGGTTTATTGAAGAATTTGACACATTATTTGAGGTTGGTAATGCCTTTGGTCCATTCTTAACTCTTGCAAACAAGCTTTTATGGGGACTCTGATATGCAAATGAGTCACTCACTCACTCACTAAGTTGTGGACACTGCCTTAATTAGTTGTCTCAAACTTGCCTGAGCAGGAAACCATATTGGAGTTGTAACCATGCATAAAATGACAGAGAGGCCTCATTACAGTTTATACTAAGCAGGGTTGCTTTAAATGTCACTTTCCAAGTGAACGAAAGTTTATCAAGTTTGAGCACAAACCAAAATTTAATACTTTGAATTGCTTTGATTGTTTATGATCTGATATAAAATAAGAACTGAGGTCATTGTATTACAATGCAAATATTTATTGAGTAACTGTGAGGCAAAACCTGACATAGAAATGGAAAGTAGTCAAATTTGGCTTGTGCAAGCAAAGATTTGGATTGCAGCATCTAAATTTGATAAATTGTGCCAACAGAAATTAAATAAACACAAGATACTATTTTGTGCTGTTTTTGAAGATTTATCTGCATTTATTAATCTGCAAAGCTGGGTAGGCACCATATTTGTGGATCTCTCCATGATTTTGGAAGCTTGGCTGTTAAGATAACGGCAACCTTGAATTGCTACAAAGAGCAGTAATTACTAGTGCACAACCATGTTTCATCTCTAGATTAAGTACTTTATGCACAAGTTGGCCATAGGTGTTCTTTGATTTACTAAAAAGAAGTTTAGATTGTTGTTGTTCACTCACTTTCATTTGTTATACTTTCTCATTATAATAAAGGCCTAAAATTTTCACCTTATAGGTGTCTCCCTATGCCACTACTGACATATTCAGAGTTCAAGAAACAAAGTGAGTTGTTGTGCTCTTTTTCACCCATTTACACCTCAAATAATCCTACTATAAAGAGATCAACATTTGAAGAAGCTTCTAAACACAGCTTTAGAAGTTTGAAATTGTTCTGACTCAACTGTAGTGTAGAATTCTAGAGATTTATGACTCTACAGTCATGTGATTGTAGACATGGATAGATATTGCAGTAAATCGGCATGTAGTGATGTCTTGCCTTAACTAAATAGCCATGTTAGCTAACATCTCTTGTCTTATTTTTAGGACAAATGACCATCCAACACTACGGGTACCCAACAAATCACTACAAAAGGTGTGTTGCCAGTATAGTCCATTGCAGTATTGGCTAAGGTTTCCATGACAAGTTGCAGGGGACCATACACTGTGTGTATGTACCCCCTGGGTGGACAAAGGTGTCTGGTTATCAAATTTTTTTGATAATGGGAATGTACTATGCTGTTGTAATGACTGGTCTCTTTTACAGATTGTTAATGAAAAGAATGAAAGCTCAGCCAGTGATGAGGACTCATTTCATCTCGTGGGAGAGAAAGAGAAGGCTGGAGAAGATGGCCCCACTTATGCCACAGTAAAGAAGCCAAAAAAGGCTCCACAGTCCTCCACTCAGTAAGTAACTACTCAAGGATTTCTCCTTCTTTTACTCATACTCTTGCCATACTCTTTTTGAGAATTTTCCCTTCATCCCAGCTTTCATTGGAATGAAGCAATTACCATAGATAATAAGTTTGGTATCTGGTAGTTAACCACTTAATATTTTTTTCAAATTTTTTGATAAGACTTTGGCTCCAAAAATCAAATTATGTTGCATATCACTAGTAAAATGGAGGGTTTGATGTCTTAAGGATACAAGGTTAATTCAGGAAACAGCCACTACTTGCTGTAGCAGTGACATTTGTTGGGATTTTAGTTTAGAAAATTTCACATTGAATCAAACCATGTCCCCTCAGTTGATATTTTTCTTTCTTTTGGTCACTTTTATGCCTGATGATGTATTGATATTGGCCTCTCTTGTGATTGAAAGGGTTAGCCAGTCATTTACTACAAAGTGCAAATAACCAAGTGTTGTCTATAGGAGGGAGGATTGGAATAAGGATGTAGAAAATTTTGTAGGGTGTGGTTTACACGAGCTTTTGACCCATTAGGTTTCAAGGTTAACTATGGAGAAATTACATTTAGCTACTCATTCTTCCAGACAGTGGCCTGTGAGCTGTGTGCCTTCTTCCTTGGTCAAAACAATATTCATTGACAGTTTTGTGTTAAATTTTACATCTGATTATCCACAAAAACATTGACCATTTATGGTAACTGTTAATTTTGGCATAACCTCAGCCTTTGTTATGAATACAGCACTCCTCTACATATACCTCTTGTGACAATGGTTCATGAGGTTAACTTTCCCCTGAATCCAATTTTTCCTTTAGTTCAGCTAACGATGCGAATTTATCTCCTCCAACTTGTCTTATCTTGCCTTATCTTGTTTTAAATGGGTACAGATGCTGTTCACATCCTAAGAGCAGCTTGTGACATAATGCGTGCACTAGTTTTCGTGAAAAATCAAATGCATTCTGGCCACTTTTAGGGAACTGAAAAAATGCCACAGGTTGTACTCCTTGTAATGGAAATGATGTAAGGAAATGTAAACTGCATTGTCAGCAAAATTGCTGAAATACCCAAAATAATTTCAGAGTCATGACAGTTGACTAGTTGTGTTCCTTAAGTGTACAGATGCATGTTAGTTCTTGAAACATTTGAGTGAAACATTGATAAGGTATAGTTGGCAGCTAAAACATTCTTAAAGTGTTTTGGATAAGATAATAATGTTTTGGATGTTTCTCTTAAATATTTATCTTGGCATTTCATGCAATTTATTAGGGAAAATTGTTAGTTTTTAAAACAACCCAGTGGTGCTATAATGGATTCAGCGGTACACATAATGGCCAGGACAAATTCTTTTAGTTTAGTTTAGCTTTACCTTTAATTTTGAATTGCAAACTGCATTTTGATACTGTGTGTCATTGTTTTAATAACTGGAACATGGATGGCATTCTATGCTTACTTGGAAGTGATGTGTGTGTGATGTTATCTCTTGCAAGGGTCACAATATTAATTACTCTAAAGATTTGCATGTCTTCCTATGCAAATGAACATCTGAAAAATATTGGTTGTGTTCATGGCTGTGGAACAAGTATTTTGTTTTTCACTCTCTAAGATCTCACTTGTAAATTAACATGACTAAGCTTTTCCTGGAGTATTAGATAAAGAAGATTGCAAGGTTTCACTTTTTCACAAGATAGGCTTCATTTCTGTCACTATACAGTTTTTTTTATATGTGAAATTTATTCAAAAGTCATTGCCACAGACATGTATTGAAATGCAAAGGGATTGACACAATTATGTTTGATGCAAGGTATGGTACATCTCTAACCAAGATAATTTCAATCAGTAGATATATCTCTTGCATTTCCCTACCATTCCTTCCAATTATGTCATTATACAGGGTTATGATTCTTGTTATTTCCAATGTAGCTGGGCAAAAATTATAGTGGTGATTGTGCAAATGGTTGACATTGTTTTAGCACTACCACTTTTCTGCTTTGCTAAGCTTTTTGAGCTTGACCATGTCAAACTTACATTTTTTAATTTTCCCATGAAAAGCTCATCTTTGGTTGTGTTGTCAGGCTATGAAGTAGCCATTATTTTAGGATCTGAAGTCTTTTTCACACAAAAATTTTTAAAATATCACATCAGAAAAAAACTGGAAAGCATTTTCCTGTGTGCCTTGAATATGCATTATGCTTGATTGATATAGAAATCATACAGAATGGCAATTTACTGGGGCAGATGTTCTGTATATGCACATTTTGTGGGCAGTTTACAGCAGCCACATTGTCTGAGGGTTTCATAATTAAATTATTACTTTGAAATTCTCAAGGAAGATGTGTGTCATTTCGATAAGTGTTATGTCAAATATTAGAAATCTGAAATTCAACTTATGTAGCAGGGTTCTCACGAAAGCTCAATGTTTTCTTTTTTCGTTATGGCTGTGATGTAGATGAAATAGACTTGTGTTATTTGACAATTTGACAATCCTTTCCTGCCCTGAATAATTAAAACAGTATGTTATTAAGGATGGAAATACACTCAGTGCAGGTGCTATAGTAGGCAATTATTGATTTATTTGTGTGCCTTTGGTGAATTTTATAATTTTGGGATGAACATTTGTCCAACCTTCATAATTTACAATTGATTTTCTTTTAGTATAACACCGCACTCAGAAGACCTGGATATGTATGTGAGGTCTGTTTCACCATCATGGAATACTCAACAAAGGTAAATTTGACAACAAATACACTATCTGAGGGTAAAGTTATCTGTCATGTATGCCATGAATGTCTGCATGTATGGATCAAATGCTTAATTCCAGACTTTTGTTCTGAGGGAAAGTAAAATGATGATTTATGGTTTTACTTCTACATTTAAGTGCATAATCCCTTAATTTTTTTTCCTATGTTCTTTGTAACTGTCTTTTGGTGCAACACTTCAGATTAAACTCATATGACTCACTTGAAACTGGGACACAATGCTGCATTTATTCAGACATTCATGATCTTGCTTGTATTGGCATAGCAGTTTGAAAATAGAAAATTGCATCACCCCTTATATAATTTGCAACTATACATCAGGATCAGGTTATATACTATCTCATAAGTGTATACTTATTCTTAGATGTTTTCTCAGTTGTTTTTATATAAAGACACTACTGTGTATCATTTTGAGTTCTTTTGAACATGATAATTTTTTGCAGACATATGATATGTGAAAGTGGACTGTTGGTAAATTTTTCGTTGTCATGTCCCTACCTCTATTTTTCTTTTTTTTTTTCCCATCAACAGTGGCCACAGAGAAAATGTTTGCCAACAATGCAAACAATTTTGCTCTTTTGCATCATGGAAAATAGCTTTTACTTCAAGACCTTTTACAGCCCTTTTCATGATTGTAGACGCATCTTTTATAGGAGTGATTTAACAAAAAACAGAGAATAGCTGAGTGAGTGAATGTCATGACTCACAAGGGTTGAAAAGGGTCTTGAAATTGGTTAAGGTCCTTGAAAGTATCTGATTTCTTTCTCTATTGAAATTTGAAAGTAGTTCATTAATAATTGAAAAACAATCACTTTGTGCAGTTTCCTTACTGTGGTTTGACAAGTGATAGAGTGGGAGCAGGGTTGGTACAGTGGTGAGAGCACTCAGCCCCTAGTGATGTGACTTGGTTTTGATTCCAGGACCTGGTTTCACTTTAGTGTGTTGGTTCTCATCCTTGCTCCAAGGGTTTTCTCTAGACCCTCAGGTTTAACCTTCCTCTGCGAAAACCAACATTCTAAATTCCAAGTCAACCAGGAAAAAGTGGATGGGAAGGGCCACCTCCTGGGCCGTCCACTACTAAATTATCATTATTATTATTACTATTATTATTATTATAATTATTGTTATTACTATTATTATTATTATTGTTATTATTATTATTATTATTATTATTATTATTATTATTATTGTTGTTGTTATTATTGTTATTATTATTGATAAGAATCATACAGTATTTAAGTTGTCACAATTAACTTCTGAAACCTCTTTCATTTCATTAAAAATTAGAAAAAAAATCAAATGTGGAAAAAATGCAAACAAGTACCAGTATTTACATAAATTGTAGTGAGGAAGTAAAACAGAACGAATCTAATAAGTTTATCAGTAAACTGTTAACTAATTAAGCTGTTGCCAAAATGATCTTTTTTCTTGTGATTTTATTCCATTTTCCTCATTTAATTCTCATTCCTTGTTTTAAATATCAAAGGGAAGAGTTTCTGATTCAGAGGTTTCATGTAATCTGGCTTGTGTAAACTTGGTGCAGTGGTCTGTAGATTGCCTACATCAGAAAAGCATGATGAATTGAATTTTGCCCTTAGAAATAGTTTGGTATGCACCTCTAAAAATGTTTGTATTTCCTTACCTTTCCAGTGATTCAGGCCCCATACCAGAATCTACCAAGCCCCCTGCTGGCAAGGAGTAAGTATCGGTTGCACTAGATACAGATTACAGTTGATTGTATTTAGGGTATCACAGGATTTTGTTACAAACTGGGAAATACGTACACCTTTTATTTACTTTTTGAGGGCTAAGCAATTAAAGCTCGGGTCCTTATGATAAACTGCTTATGAGCATTTTAATTGCAAGACCCACTCTCTGATGTACATGTACATCTCTAATCACAGGCCAAGTCAGAGTTGAACAAGAGACTTCATCAGAATGCCTGTCAGCTTTTATATATTAACTATATGGTTTTACATTATGCCCTGAAATAGCTTATAAGCATGGACATAACATGAAGCATTGAATTATGTTCATTTTTGTATTTTAGAATTGTACAAAAAACAATCAATGACACCATCAAAGAACACTTGTTTGGGCCTGACCTGACGTCTACAGATGAAAACAGCCCACACTCGCCAGAGTCAGGAGATGAAGGTATGTTAACAATGAAAATGATAAGCTGTTGTGCATCATCATGGCTAAAGGGTGAAATGACCTATGGTGTGTACAATCACAAGGAACACTTCTTCATACCACTTCTGAAATGTAATCTTCTCTTCCATGTGCTGTAGATTTCCTTTTAACTATGTTTGAAGAGTGTGGTGTTATTTTGGGATAAAACCCTCCAGTTGATGTGTTAGTCTATTTTTGTCACCTACTTGGTGGATAATGTTGTGATATAATGAAGAAAAGTTACTTGTTCATCACTCCTACAGGTTTTAACCCTTTGACCTCCTATAATGACCAGTATCTTATTTCTCCTCACAATATCACCCCGGACTCAAACATTAAGATCACGAGAATAAAGCAAATGATCACCAACGAAAGAAGCTCGTGATTTTAAAACAAATTCCCCTTTTTGGCACCCAAGGAAATGTATGGAGAACAGTTTGGAGAATATGCGTACTGATGCTTAGGTGTAAAGGGTGATAGAATGAAATATTTGGAGCTAAAGCTAGTCTTGGTTTCCATAGGATAAGGCCATTAGGCGTTTTGTTACCCCAATTCCCCTTCCCCTTAGGAGGGATGTTTTTTCCATTACAGTAGATAGACCAGTTAAAGCTCAAGTGTCCTCACGATTCTCTCGAGCAGTTTGTCGGTTTCCTTTTAAACTGTTGGGTGGAGTGGTTACTGCCGGGGTGGAGTATTTTCTCTAAGAACACAACAGAATGACCGCAGTTTGGGCTCTCACACCACACTCACTAGGGAAACCTTTTGTTTTGAAAATTAAGAATGTATTAATCTTTAGAACCAAACTTTATCCCAAATGCTTCTGAAGGTTTCTGCTGTGTGCTTATCTTAGTAACAGGTCCACCACTACCAAGTCGTAATTACACGGATGAGGAAGCTAGCAAACCAAGGAGGAGAAGGAGAAGAAATGTCAAGAGTCAGCTAGAGACATCAGGTGGGTGAATTTAGCAGTAAATGATGTGAACAAGTGGTTGAGACTCACTGAGGATGAGTGAGAGCATATGAATTACTCTGCTTAGGTAGCCTTATACTTTCACTCACAATGCATAATGTAACATGGCAGTAATAACTATTGGCTCTAAGGTAAAGCCATTGTACTTCCTGTGACATGTTTATCTGCCGTTAGTTGTGTTGGTTTTGCTGTTGCTGTCGTTGTTATTGTTACTGCGCCCGCGAAATTGGCTAACTACAGCGCTCGAAGTATCTAGCAGTAGTAGTGGTATTATTTATGTCACCACTGTCTTTTCTCAAAAATGTGTAAACTCAAATAGTTTACTTTTTTCTTCGTTTGCAGATTCAAGCGGCATTGTTGAAAACAGTAACCCGCTAAAGAAGGTTACAAAGGAAGCTGTGGACTTGCTCACTAAAGATGAAGAAGACCAGGTTAAGAAGGGAAGTGTGGTGAAACCTGTGAAGAAGAGACCCAAATCTGAAGGATTTGAATTGTTCGAAAAGAAGGAAATAGTTATTGGTGTGGTAAGTGGCTTTTTTATCTCGTTGTTTTTGTTAGGAACATGTCAAGCAAGTCATGGAGAGATTTGCGATAAGATGATGAAACAAAGTTGAAGGAACTGGTCGGATGCTGTCCAGACCCATTGATAAACCATGATTAAGAGAATAATCTGAATTATCTGAAGTAGAGGAAAAGAAACTTGATTGTGGTTTTCACAACCTCCAAACGAACCAAAAAACAAATTCAAGCTCAGTGGAACGTTGAGTTTGTTCCAAAGTTTCAAAATCTGTCATTGGGGATTGACAAACAATTGGAACACTTCATTACACTTACTGAATTTCTAAGACAAACGGACAAGCACTCAAAGCTGCATGGCTGACATTATTCAGTATCAGAATTGGGTGGTACACCCTTTCGCTGCGCCCACTCTTTGAGAGCGACAACTTTGCTTGTGGTTTTTAAGCGTTCTATTTCCTCTTATTTCAAAGGACGAGAACAGCAATTACATATTCAGCTCTACATTTCCTCGGAAAAACGATGGTCAAAAAGTGAGTGGAGATTCTGTTACCCAGCATCATAAGCGCTTTTGCACAAGAGGTTTCCAATTTTAGTTATAAACCTCAGTTAAGGTTGCTGGCCTGTTAGAAAATTTGAATCTTCAGTTCTATCCCTCTGCAGCTGTTTTTTTGGTCACGTGACGCAACACGTTCTCTATCCTGCCAACGTTGCGTCACTATACCAAACAACGGCTGCAAAGAAGACTGTACCCATTTATCAACAACTAATGCTGCAATGGCAAATTTTTCTGAACAAAATTAACTTTGACAAGGTGGTTTTTGGTGATAAGGACAGGAAGTTGTTCATTAGAAGGTTCCTTAGTCCTAAGGCGGACAAACGAATTTTGAACCCCATTGTTGAGGTAAAGCTTTCCAAGACAAATTATGCTTGAGTGGTTAATATGGAAAGGACGCTGATCAAGGCAAATTTTCGCTTGGGGATATGGCGGATGAGTTTTCCTTGATTTCATAGCGTAAACACGGCTAAACTTATCTATATCTCAGTTGTGGTACTCTTTTTAAATAGGCAGTTAGTTTATCATAAGTTACTACACCCAGAATACAACATCACCACAACTTGTTCCTCGTCACGTTTACCAATTAGCTTTCGCCCAGTCATGCCTCTAGAAAGGGAAACAAAGAGTGTTGAATGGGAGAAACATTGTGACTTGCTCGCAAACGCAACTGAACCCAGTGGCCAGTGGCGTTTGTGTGCAAGACACAAAAAGGAACACAATATTTGTCGAATTCCGGCCTCAGGTACCGCTTTCTGCCAGGCTTGTAAAACGTACTCAAAACCCTTTGTTACAAGTTCTTTTATCTGCTTGTTTGCTGCAGAATGACGAGGATATTTATCAAGAAATATTAGGAACAGGTAAAAGTGATCCTCTGTTCAGCGTGAGCAGGACCTCTGAGATTTTGGAATCTTTGACGCGTAATAGGGCAGCTCCTCCTAAAAATAGACGAAGGCCAAGCCTGAAGAAACGACACGAAACTAGTGAGATTTTCTCAAACGAAGATGATGAATACTCAGACAAGGTATGATTGGTGAATGCCAATATTTATCCCTAGTACTTATGAAGTAATTTTGAAAGTGTGCGCTCCATAGGCTATCAAACCTACCATTAAGTTAGTCCGCTTCTTGCCCTTTACAAGACCTGTACGTTTGTAAGTGAACTTTTGTACTTCTTGATGCTGTGGAGCTAACATTTACCTGTAAATCCATTACCTTATGTCTAATTTTTTAAGTATCCTTCACTAGTTGTGCCACAGTAAGGTTGAGTACGAAAACTTTGAACGCGCAAAATTCGATTGCCATATTTTAAGTATCGCAAACGCCCTGATTGGTTACACCGGCATAATAGCTTTGTTATAAAAGCAATTAGAGAACACTGTCACACGTTCTGTTGGTTTATCGGCGAAAAAACTCACTTGGGATGTTGAGGGAACACTGAAAATGCTGGTAAATAACTCACCTCCGGCTCGTGTTTTGTAAACTTTTCTTACGTTCTCTCTCCATCCCTCGTAGATTTTTACGCCAGTAAACGGATAGAAAGGGCGGTTATTGCTTAAACGATTGACGCGAGTTATAAATTAAATTTTAAGAGCCAAACAGTCCAGATTAGGTGAAAAGGGAACAAGGATGATCAATGATCAAGCGTGAGACAATTAGCGTGCATTGAAATTGAATTCAAAATACTATTTCGATGAGATAATAAAACAAAAAAGAAGTTATTATGGAGCGAAAGGGAACGGAAATGATTTGGCACGGAAAAAAATTGAGATGGATTGCGAATAACAAAGTTTTTTTTCAAGATGGACAATAAGGACCTCGCGTTGTTATGATTGTGTTGCCTGGTAAACTTCCAATGGTTTTCTCATAGGATGATCAACAGAGACAAAACAAGTCAAAGGTACATCCTTTAGTTGATGAAGCAAAGAATAAAAATGTAGTGTCGACAACACCACCTATATCACCTAGAACCTCCAGATCATCAAGGATTCAGCTGCACTCAGCTTCATCCAGGCAAGAGGTGAGTGATGATGGTACTCTTCTACTTAATGAAAATAAAATGAAACTTTCGGTGGTAGCGCATAGAAATCAAGAGCGCACTATATTATTGTTTGGTAGAAATCTGTTAGTCGTTACAAACTTAACATCACGACAGGCTATTGTTTTTATTGAATAATGAGACAAACAAGTCACGCCGCATGCAATTGGGCTACTCACCCTAATCGCTAACTGTTACGGAATTGATAGTGAGTAGCTCAGCCAATCAGATTGCACCATTTGTGATATTACGCTATCTGCGTTATTATAATTTACAGGCTGGATAATTTATTAGAGCTTGGTTCCTTAGAGGTTTTTCATTATTTTAATTCAATTAAGTGGAGTGTTTGCACAATTAAAGGCTCCATTCAGGCGGAATGACCACTACTGGCCAACCCATAGCCTTTAATCTTTCGGCCCAGTGAGGCTTGAAAAGAAACTGAGCAAAATTTTTTGTCTACTTCGTTCCTGGTTACTCTGTTGGAGCTATATTGTATTTTTCTTCTAGCAGGGCGAAGTGGATGAAGTAGATTCGTCATCGTTCAGACCCAGGAAGGAACTTCTTACCAAGCAGTACAAGAAAAAGCATCACGGAGCACCCATTGTCCCTCCATTAGAGCTCTACAAGCTTCAGCAGCATGATGACGGCATACAGCTGTCTCCCAGGGAAAGATACGATGGGCTCGGCACAGATGAAGCATTATTGTCCCCTAGATCTAGGCCCCTTACCATTGATACCCGCACCATTCCTCACGAGTGTCCTCCATCACCGCCCCATGAGCAGATAGAGCATTCCTGGTTTGAACGAAGGTAACGGACTTGTGCCATGTGAAAAGTGTTGTTGAAAGGGGGCTAAACTACGGGGGATTTGAGATGAAATAGCTGCCGGAAGTTGAGAATTGTTTCCTCCGGCGCTCTTTACCGATCTTTTGTTTGCGCCATTTACTGTTTTATAGTTGCTGGAAGGAGACTAATGGTTGCGTAAGCTCCAGTAATGTTGGGAAATGTGATATAGACTGATGTGTAGGCGCTGGGTTTCAAGCTGGTATTCTACTATTGAAGTGAATCTCCCCTGGGAGTACACATGGGACCAGCGTAATTATTGTTAGAGAAAACTTAAGGAAATGTGAGGGTGAGCTGCGGTGGACTGGCACGATTTTTAACAATACTATTCGTCCCATAATGCTCCAGACATTGGGTTTAGCCGCAAAAAATTCGATTGGCGTAACGTATTATGAATTCGTATTGTTCTTTTTGTCATATTTTATCAATGTTTTATCAATATTCTGTTCCTTTTTTCTGCGTAATTTTCTTTTGTTGACATCACGTGTATAAGTTCTTCACCGTGGATTTTTTTCATTCGGATCTATCGTTTGACTGTTTGAATAATCTTTTTCGTCTTCAATTTGCCATTTGTCCCGAATTTCGTGTAACGATTTTAAGTGTCTTTTGCTGTTCTTTTTTACAGTTTTCACGTTTGTCTATTTCTTTACGTATAGTTGTTATAACTTTTTAGTTGTAGTTATTTATAGCACCTGCTTCGATTCTTCACTTCGTTTCGTTTTGTATCTTGAAAGCAACGTATAGAGCGCGTGATTTTTGGACATGTAACTAGTATTTTTGGCTATCACATCGAGATTAGCTTCAGCAATGTCTAACACTTGGCTTTTAAGACTTTCCCTTGATATTTTTGAGTTTTAAACTATTAAGTTGTTTGAGATTTAAATTACTGCAAGAGAAAGCTTTTGAAGATTTCCTATCCAGGCTACAGAACCTGGCCAACACTTTGTACAGGACCACCAAGTGTTTATTTTCCTACTTTCTCTTTCCTTCATATCTTTTTAGAGTGGATACATCTCCAAAGGGTGAATTAACCGTCAAACAACTCACTAAAACAATCGGTCAGCTCAAGAAGAAAATACGCGACTTCGAAGACGCATTCGAGGACGAAAACGGGCGAAGACCTTCACAAAGCGAAAAAGCGCCCATAAAGAAGTACGTGGCAGAACTTGGCCGTGCAAGAAAACAGCTGAAAGAGCTGAAAGAACGCGCTAAAGGAGAAGCAGAACGCTTAAACGAAACTGTGCCTCCGATGAGCGGACAAGGATTGAAAAGCAGTAATAGCGAACCTTTACTTACCACCACGCCCGCAAGTATCGAACACTCCCTGGAAAGTTTGCTGAAAAAATTACAAGAGAAGAGGAAGGATACCGGCAGACCGGAGGAGGTAGAACAAATGAGTCGAGACCAGCTTCAAGATGAGAAGCTGGCAGTACAAAAGGCGCTACTTCAACATGAAAGCGTGTTCGGTCGGCCTAATAGTAAAAATGACAAGGATGTGATGAGGCCTTTGTATGACAGGTCAGTGCTAAAGTTTTGACGAGAGATATGAGCAAAAGGTTAGGTGTGGTGGTTGAGACTTTTTTTTTTTATTTTGTACTTTGTTGAGACGTTGACCTGAATTTTTCCTAGATACCGCACAATCAAGCGGAAACTTTCCACACCCGCCACGGAACCGCCCGTGAAAGTCCAAGGTAACCGGCCGCGCACTAGTTCAATCGATAGAATGGTATCTGATCTGGCTCCAATTCATGAAGATGCTCTATTGCACTCACCCAGTGGAGGCTCTTCTGCTAGAAACCTTACTCAGTCTCTGCCCATCACTGGTAGCAAGGTAGGCTGGAATTCTTCAACTTTTTTAATTCAGAATTAACCATCTCACTTGCTGTGTTTAGACACGCGTTTTTAACGTGACTGATCCTAGCAGTTTGTAAGACCCTTGTCACATGTATATGGATTTGTTCACCAATGGACTCTTTGTAGTTGAATTGGTAGGGCAACAGGTCGCGCAATGGAAGGTTTAAAGTTTGATTCCACGTGATGGACCCAGATTTTTTTTCGTGCCATTTTTTTTTTCAAAGGAAGAAGAGAAGAGATTTTTTGTCAGCACCCCTCTGTGCCAGTCTTTTCTTGGATACGCAATTTTTTTCTTTTTTAAGATGAGAATTTAGTTGCTGAAAAAAAGGACTGACGCAGAAGGTGGACTGCTTTTTGCTTCAACAAATAAACCTCTTTTCTTTCTCTCTTTTGCTGGGTCATACAGTCACTCCTTGTTTCAGTCTAGTATTACGTGGTTTTTAAGAGCAAGGTCCGTACAAGCTGCACACCATGTCAACACTGAATTTGCTTATCAAATTCGCTCTGCTAAAAACGGCATTTTTATCAAGAAATAACGGAACTTGAGTAAAAAACTATGAAACTATGTGAATGTTATGGTAAGGTTAAATTATGGTTTTTGTAACATAAAACAATAAGTATGACGGAGAGCAAAGTAATATTATGTCATGGGTAAAATATACCACAGCTCATGCAGCATTAAATCTGCTTATTGTTTTATTTGATTTCTTTCGGCTCTTGATTAGTCTTATTCTATCTTGGGAGTTAGTGCGGTGGGCTCTGGATCGAGAGGTCTAGGTTGAAGACCTGGCTGGGTGATGTGATGTGTTCTTAAGCAAAACACTTCGATTTCACTGTGCTTCTCCCCTCTCTCCCCTCTCTCCCCTCCCTCCCCTCCCTCCCCTCCCAGGAGTGTGCATCGACACCAGCCAATTGTCAGGGACGCCCGGCCTGATAAAATGCTGGGGTAACCTCATCCTACGGAAACCGGGATAAGCTCAGGCTGAATGGCTCACTTGGTTTGGGCACAGACTATCTGTAAAAACCGGAATCAATGTGAAGGCGCCTTTCACTGTAAATATTATCTTAATGACAATAATAATATTTGGTATATACCACAAAGGTGAATGAAAAGCAAGTGCTATTCACCTTCGAGCAGCCAATGAGACAAAATGGCGCTTCAAGAGTTCAATTCGACCATTTTTCGGTATATTGAAAGAATTAAACCAATTTTTTGTATCTGTTTGGTATATACTAAAACAGTTATTCACCTCAGTGTCGTTCAGAGTGGTGGACATTTTCCACTGTTTACCACCACTTCGGTGAACAATTGTTAATTATTAATTTATATTGCGCAGTTATCAATTTACCATTTTCAGTTGCGCTTTCAGCTGAAGATGTGGAACAGTAATTTACGTAAGACCGCGCTTTGTTTACAGGAGTCACCCCGGAGGCGTAGTACAGGTAACATGCCTTACACAGACACATTAGATGGTGATGATGACTCTTTTGGTGACACAATCCAGGACACACTGACACTCCGTGACTCCGCTCAGTTCAGGGACGAGCTCAGGGAGGATGCTAAATTCCACGAAATGAGCCGGTAAGCTTGATTATTCTCAGAAGCACAAGTGTCCACATTGGTCATACAGCAATCTTCTAACTCCCAAAATCTTATTTGTGATTCTCGCCTCTAGCTGTTTCACATTTACCTGTAGATCACTTGTGAGAATTTGTTTTTATATCAGAATGAAATACTGGATGAATGTATCAAGTCTCATGGCCCATTAGCTGATTCGTCAAGCAGTTTTTGGATTCCGTCTGTTCTGTGTGTTTTCCAGACCGCTCCTATTGTTTTGGAATTTCTATTGATAACTTATCACTGGATTTTTATTGTTTCACCTTTCAGAGATGAGTTAAGTGAGCAGCTAGAACTGAAAAAAAAAGAGAAAAAGAAAATGAGAAAGAAACTCAAGACATTTGAGGATGAGTTCTTCGAGGAAACTGGACGGTAATAGACATACTAGCTGACTTTCTTCCAAAAAAAGTTTCTTTAACATTAATTAGTCAACGTAGACTTTCGTTTTCTCGTTAAAAAATCACATACGAATTTATTTCAGTATGTTGAAGGCGCAAAGATTCAGTTGAGGACAAAAAAATTGAAGAAGTGAATAGTCACCTTAGACAAACACCGCAAGAATACCCGACACGAATGTTTTCTGAGCCACAATTGTTGATGCACAAAATGCCTTCTTCATCAGTGTGACGTTTTATCCGCAAAAAGAGTATTTTGTAAAGCCTCGTCTCGGTTTGCGCTTTTTGAAAAATCTAGTTGGTTGTCAACACATAATAGCAAAGTGTAACTTCAAGGATTCTAATTTGTTTTTAATGTTTTGATACTTATTTTTAACTTTGCCTTTTAGGCGAGTGCAGAGAGACGACAGAGGTGAAATGCAGAATGATTACCACGAGTATAAGGTAAGATCTGCACAGTTCTGTCTTCACTTTGTTCCAAAAAACACCACCGCGTTCTTACTTGAAAAATGAGACAAGAAATTCACGTGCGACTTTATTCGATTTAGAACGAACCTCGATTGATTTGCTAAGCATTTCGAACACCTGATCATCAGAATTGCTAACACGTGACCATAAAACCACTTAAAGAAAGAGAGTTTTTTTTTCCTTTACGACATTTCCCAAGGTAGAATTTTCTGTCATATGATGGTGATATCCCGTTGGGTACGTTTTCAACAACTGAATTGTCGTTATGCTTTATTTCCTCTGTGAGTGAAGAATGTCTTATGTCGTCATGTGCATGACAGTGGGGTGTCTTTGTTTCAAGTAACGTAACCTAGGCCTGACGTAAGGAGTAAAGGTTCTATTTTCGTTTTCAAAAGTTTTCGCGATTATTTCTTCACCCGTAGGTTTACGGAGTGAAAGTAACCACTGTGATATAATTTTGAAATCTTTTTCCCTTACAGCACATAAAGCATCAGTTGAAGCTTATAGAGGCTTTGTTGACAAAGCGCCAAGTAACTAATACGATGTAAACTTTCGAGATTTTTTCTTGTGTATATTATTTCGATTATTTGTTAATAGAAACGACTTTATGATATGTTGAATTTTGTAAAGAGTTTTAAAAGAAATTAAAAAGTTATTTTTTGTCAAACGAAAATCGACTTGATATTACTGACACGGGAGAAACCCACTCACTTTGCGCCAAAATGGTACATAAGCTCTCTGCTCTGACGAAGGGCTAACGCTTGAAACGTCTGATATAGAAACTCTTTACGGTGCCATTTAAATTCCCATTTTAGTTGATAAAACCAAATTATCGTCAATACCCTCCACCGACGCAGCACCAGAGTTTCTTAAGAGACCACTCTCTGTTCATTTGAATACTAAACCAGTCTCGGTTTCGTTCAAAATGACTTCTTGGTTACCATTTGAGCATCTTCCGAAACAATGCGATTTCTTACTTCGCATATGAAAGCTGTTAGCCAGAATCCCTACAATTGTAATAAAATCATATCTATCGAACATAATAAACGCATATCGATTTCACTCATAATTGAGGTAATAACTAAGGCGCTTATATCAGAAATAGCGCCTAAGCACCAGCAGAAAAGCAGGTCCAACTATCGCTTGCACTTTCGAGTTCTTTTTACACTCGTCGGCTTTTCATTGGATAACCTACTAGAGAGAGCCTGAATAGAATGAGAGTGATCACAATTTGATTTGCGAATGATGAGCGGTTGGAAAACGAGTAGGTGCTTAACCTTTTATTTCTCGAGGTTGGTCGATGAACGCAGAAAAACCTAATTCTAGGACTGCCTCAAAGTTTTTAAGGGTATCCCGGCATTTTACATAGAGAAAAAAATTCGCATTTTGTCGCTTAGTTTCCGTATTTAACTGTTTCGTTTCGATGTTTTGCTGTTTTTTACAGTCGAAACACTGCATTGGGTTCCTCGATTCTTTGGAGTTACGCCTCTAGATACCGAATTTCAATGCCCACTTATGCGATCGAGGGATAACCATTCTAAGTCGATGTATCAAATTGCTACTTCGTGAAAAAGAGACTACTTTTGTTCGCTGTGCAATGGACTCTGGACAGAAACAGTGCCTAAGTTTCGAAAAAAACATCTTCCTGCTTACCAGACGCTCATGGCCATTAACTATGCAAGAGACTCGAGGTAGCAGACAAAGTGTGCTGATAATGAAAGAGCAGGTAAACTGTATTTATCAAAACATTTCATCAGGAAGAGTTAATTTTTTGATATGGCGGAAATAGCAAAATGTCTAACAACTGTTAACCCAAATGGCCATAACTTTTCATAGGAATATTTATTCATTTGTTTCAAGTATATGTTCACATGATGCAGCCCATAAAGCCCTAGAGATTTCTTCCGTGAAAGAGGAAGTCTTTCTCCTGGGTATCTAAGTTTTAAAACTCGCTTTTATTGTCAAGGCCTTTGTTTAAGAGTGATTATTAGTGGTGACTTACAGTAAGGATCAAGCCTTTCTGGATGCCTATTCAATGGAAAATTGTTCTTACCTTGCAAAAATAGAGAAAAAAAAATAATATATCAGTTTTTGAAGAGGTTCTGTACGATTCCTGAAGAACAAACTTTGCGACTCTACTTCCGCAGAGGAAACCGTTTCGAAGAAAACCAAATAACTTCAGTTTACTAGAAGCTTCTATTGAAATCTTTGACTACTTTTAGTTGGATTTCGATATCGAATGGGCGGCTTTTGAAGAAAAGGGCACCCAATTGAGTTTGTAGCACAATAACGATTTTAATTACAATTTGTTTATATAGTAGAGAGCCGAACCAAAAAAAGTTAATCCCTTGAAAAACGCTGGAGACTGAGTAAATAATTGATATCAAGTGGAACAAAGGAAAAGTGTGATTAAAAAACTTCTAGTCGGTAAGAAACACGTTACCGAATGGTCTCCTAAGTTGAGTTTTCTTTATCATTGCATAAAATCTTGAATTACAATGAAATAAAGACGTAACAAAGAACGGTTACCAACCTTTGAGAGCTAACAAACCAGCAGTTTAGTGAAGAATTGGAAAACACTCAGCTCAGGTTTGCCGGCGCACCGATCTGCCATTTGTTTTCTTGGACACTACAACCGTTGAGATGAATACCAACCAGATGAGAACATCTTTATAGTGTTCCTTCCACAGTAACTCTCAAAAGAAGAGTTTCAATTTTGAGTACTTTCACACTTTGCCCGTCTAATTTCTAGAAAATACATCGTAGACACAGACTGTGTGTTCTCTTAACGCATTTCAGCCACGTGTCTAACCCTGTTTAGCTTTAACAACAGTATAAACAGACTAAAGAAGGAACCTTTCAGTAGGAAGTGTAACAGGTAAATGAACTTCCTGCATTAAAGGACTCGGAACACATGATAACCTGATGTTCACTTGGCAACAATTGCCCCTATTGACAGATAATTCTTTTTGCTTTGCTTTTGTATTGTTCTGTTTTGTTTTGTTGTTTTCTTCCTTGTCAGAGTCTGTTAAACCGGATCCTCAGTGATGCACACTCGCTGGCCGTGGTAACCAGCGCTAAAAAACCCTCTCTGTCTTCCTTATGATGTTAAAACGAGCAGATAAATCGAAGCTGTATCGAACTTATGGGAAACTAGAAACCTGTGCTGTCCTCAATTAACACCGTTCAGTATTCCAGCTCTGCTTTTCTTATGATAATGATTCCAAGAAACTTGTCACTTCCCTCGCTGCCAAGTGTCAATTATCGCAAAAAAAGGTTTCGCTCTATTCCCCAAATTAATTCCATATAGTCTATCAATTGTAGTTTAACGAAGAAGTTCATCATCAAAGAAACATCCTTTAGATGCTGATAACAATAATGTTTTCCGCCTGAAGGACAAAGCATATATTGTGCTAATGATGAGATTGATAAAGGTGAAGAAAAAAGAAAAATACCAGAAAATTCTAGCCGATGACTAGTGTCAAGAAGGAAAAACAGGAAAAATTTGTATCCAGGTTTTTCGATGCCCTTTGGTGATCTCAAAGTACGCTCACATTTGGGGTTTTAAATAGTACAGTGACACATTTTGCCAAGCGGAACATGCGGCTTTCATTTTCGGATTTTCCAAAATTGTTGATACGATCTATAAGTGAATAACTTCCTTGAATTAAACATAGAAGTAAACAAATTTATTTCGGACATATGCACTGAATCAGGAAGCTAAGCATTTTGTTTGCGATCATCGTAGCTTTTGTCTTTGCGTTAAATACAATTTGCTCATAATGCCTCCATTTTGGAGAATTTTCATTTCTCTCCCTCCCTACCCTAACTAAAATTCAAACGACGTCCGTAAATAAGCAAAGCATCAATCTTACGAGGTACATTACTGCGAGAGATCGATGACTTTTCAATTGAGAAGAAATACGACTTTTTGCTGATTAGCTGAATTCAGTTGAATCTTCTGTTTTCAAAAGCCCGCTCCCCTCCCTGAAGAAGTGAATATTTTACCCATAACACTCCTCTCTCCGAGCACTTCCGTATTTCGGGGAAATTCCCTACTTTTCACGATGGAATAATTTCGACAAATTTAACCTATGTTGAATGATTTCAATCATGCTTTTGGTACTAAATTAGACACAATTGTAATGCTTTAATTAACGCTTGGAGTTTTGCCGTCGAAGAGAGCAAGAAAGTTCCGTTGTTGGACAAATTGTACTGTCAATACTATGGAAGCCCACCTAATTTCACGGGCTTTGCACTGAGTGAAGTTTAGCTTAGCATTGAAGAGTTGAGCTACGTTCAGCAGTTCATGAGGTAATTTAGATAGAAATACTCAAGGCCGTTTTAAGTTCGCTGCGTATGCTTACCTGCAGTAGTTTTTAACAGAAGTTTATGCATTGGAAACGTTTGAATTCATGTTCTTTGCTATGAAAACATCTACGGATCATTGAGTAGTCTAACAACTTTTTTTTTCAAACCTTGCTTCTCTTTGCAAACTTTTACAACATCACTCGCAAACGGTTTCCTTGAACTTCCTGTTTGTTGTACATTTAGTATAGTAGAAAGGATGGCATATTAAGCTGTTTCAGTCGTGACATTCTATTTGAGCCACAAGTTTGTGCCCAGTTAGATTACAGTGAATAATCGGTACTGAATACAATAGCTGGGGAATTTTCTTGTATCCTGTTCAATACCCCCGTGTGAAATTCTTATCTACCGGTTACCGGAATTGAATTCGATCGATCGCAAGGATAATGTCATAATTAGCTTTATTCATGAAATGACAGCAGATCTAGGCCTGGCACTGAGAAACCTATTAGGCCTCTGAATGCAGGCAGCTACATTCAGGGTACACAATTCGAAGGATTTCAGCTCATCGATGACCTTACTAACAGTTACTTTTGTAGTACTAGATGTTCTGTTCTGGAATGTGTAATGCTTTTAGTTATTAACGGCATTCATTCAATTATTCCAACATAAATTTGGAATTGAGAGCATCCGGAATATACTCGATGTTAACGTTGAATCCTTAATTTCAGGATTGAATAGTCATCATATTGCTGTAAGTTATAATTTATAATTTGTGATGATTCAAGCATATTTACAAGGACAGTTTTCTCTAAAGCTTGGTCCAGTCATTTACTTGCAACATAACATAAAACATCATACCAAACAAAACTTAGATTCTTTTCAAGGTATCTTATTATATTGACTTGATGATTTCTGATATGTAGAATGATTTCCATGATATTTTGGTGTAAAACAATGTTAAACTCTGGTGCAGTACTCTAGATTACAAAAAGATCACATTCATTACCCTTAAACTTCCTAAAGTCCTCAACCTAACTCCTCCTTATAGCTTGAAAGGAATTGATCGATTACTCTGCCGATGATGGCTAGTCAACAGAAGACAAGGGTGTCATCTTGGTTTAAAACAAATCTTTCTCAACTGATTTACAAGGAATGAACACAGTATATACAAGCTAGCTATGATGCCATGGATGCTTTTGTTAATACCATGGGGTCTTACTTAAATATCTTTTCTTTTTACTTAAAATAACCTCACGGTTTATATACATATACAACAGCAGATCTTGATTTCAGCTTAAAGACTATATAATCCAGCAATCACTAATCTGCTATTAAAATTTCCACTTCATATCCTGCCATGAT